ATAAATAAATACATAAAATGGTGTATATGTAAGTATACTCTGAACTTGCCTGGTCCTTCTTTGAGCTATCTGCACTGGCTTCCACTGTCACACTTGCTTTGTTTTCTCCCACTTTTACAGCTGGATTAACGCTCTTGATGTGACTTGACGACGTTGCATTACCCGAGCTTGGTCCCTGAACTGTTCCTGCGTTTCCCAGGACTGCTGCTGGATTAGGCAAGGCTGGAGCACTCATGTTATTACTTGCATGAGCAGCATTTGGAATACCCTGTTTGAAAAAGTTATCAGTAATTAACATAGTTATCCTTGAACATGACAATGTGCCTTTCTAGAAGTCTCAGCAGCTATAGAAAGAGCATGAATATAACAGGCTTTGGTTCACCAGCTAATTTCCACACTGTTCATTACTATGGTACACACATTGTATCAAACCTACTCAGAGGAAAATAAAATAAAGCTTGAAGAGTAAAGCCTCCTCCATGCCACCCCGGTGGTGGTGAAGATTCTTGCTCTTATCCCAGTGATAAAACAACCAAAGTACCCTGCAAACAGGCATGGAAGGTGTTAGTTAGCACAAGGGGCAGGAACCTTACGGCTGCAGAACCTCTCTACGTGTCACAGAGTGGACATTGAATTAACATCAGATTAACATTTTTTTAAAAGTCAGCACCTAAACACACATAGAAGTTACCTCAGACCTTTCCTGCATCCTAACAATGCTGCTTTGAGAAAATGTTTATTTTCATGGTTGTTACCAGCTTGAACTTGCAAATGAATTTCAAATCCATGAACACACCTACAAGCCTACTTGAGCCTAGAGGTGAAATGCTGGTTGAAGCAGCAGGATCTGTTCTTCAGGAAAAACCATTTTCTGTACATTTCCAAACACCATCAAAAGACCACAGGCACTGTTGATACTTTGGAATTGGAAAATGAAGTAGCTCCCAGACCTCAGACAGAGCTGACTTCTAGGAAAAGCCAAGAACGCACCCTCCCAACCTGTGTCTGGCAGGCTAACCTAACTGATGCTTTTTTTCCTGTGGGTAATCACCATTACTTAGAATCATAGAATAGTTAGGCTTGGAAAGGGCCTTAAGATCATCTAGTTCCAACCCCCCTGCCATGAGAAGGGACAACACACACTAAACTATGTCGCCCAAGGCTCTGTCCAGCCTGGCCTTGAACACTGCCAGGGTTGGAGCATTCACAACTTCCTTGGGCAACCTATTCCAGTGCCTCACCACCCTCACTGTGAAGAACTTCTTCTTTTACATCTGTGTTTATCCAGATGAAAAAACAATGAAACAGAAACTTGAGCTCCTTGGAAAGGACACAAATATCGAGCTGTTACAGTCAGCATGTTAATGCTTACCAGAGTGCTCTCTTCATCTTCCTTTCAACAGGAAGGACAGTCAGGTGGAGTCCTGCAGTATTCAGTAATTCCTATTGTGTTACCACCAAGGACTTGTTCAGTGAAAGCTCAAAGAAAAAGCAGCAGCAGCTCTTAAGAGCATTCAGGTTCATGGACACCATTCCACAAAAGCAGGCAAGAGCAACAAATGTAACAGGTGCTTTGCCAACAAGTAATTGTATTTTGGAGCAATATGCACATCTTTATAGAAACGTATTTTATTGCTGCACTAGATACTGTGTTTCACAGAGGTTTGTAGCCTACATTCTGACTTCTTACAGTTTTAGAGGTTAAACCTACTGGATTTCCAGTTGTGAAAATATTTTAATTACAGACAGCAGACATTAATCAAATCAACAAGCAGTCTACCAGCATCTTAGTTCCAATGGTTCCTTACTGTTTTACCTTGCAGAGTATATTTTATTTCAAATGGCCTATAACCCCCCTCAGTATTTCCCACTATACTTAAACTCCTTTTGTTCTAAGTTAATGAATATGAATGGTAACAGCAGCTGAAGGTGAAAAGAACATAGGCAATTTATCAGTTCACATCCAATCTTTAGAGATGATGGATGAAAACAGCAGAATAGAAATCATCGTTGTACAACATCACTTTTTAACCTGGAATGCAGCAGAAAGCATTTTAGGTTAGAGCAAGCAGCCTGCAACAGAAGAAAAGCACAAACCTCAGTCAACCCCTGAAGAACCCTTTACACATCACAGATGCAGCGTTATGTCTCCTTGCAGGGCCATGCATTCTCCTGGCAGTTGTTCATATTCCTTTCCCTGATACAAATGCTCTTAATAAAAACAGCTGGCTACAGAGGGAGCTCACACACACGAAGGTTGTTTTAAGGTGTCTTGAAAGGCACAAAAAGATGATCCGACCTGCCCCAAGCACAGCAGTCTTTTTGAAATTGGAGAAACGAAGTGGGAGTTAGATCTCAGAGCGTGCAAAACAAGAATTAGGCAAGGAGGAGGATGCAGAACATACCAAAGAAAGCTTGGAAATTACTAACAAAATGGCTCAAAAGATTGAACAGAACAGAAAATGCATATGTGTGAGGAAGCTGCTGAGACAGTGACAGCTGGAGAATGGAAGTGTGGAACAACTGGGTGCCATGCAGTACTTAGTAATTTTTCCTCTGCTGGTAGACCCCATGGGATGAGAACTGCAACGACAACGTTTAGATCACTTCCTACACGCCGATAAAAGGGGAGTCAAACATTTCCTAAAGCTTAAAAATCAGGTTTTGAAAGGGAACACTTAGCTTTGGAAATGGGGCACTTGTAACAAGAAAAAGGTAATGGACAACACTGATGAAATTTTTCAGTGTTCCATTACCAGCTGGAACACCTCATTACCACAAAACCCACTTATGGTGTTGTGTCTTATGTAAAAGCTATAGCCCCAAACCAACTCAGATCCTCACGGATATCTTCACTTTAAATCTGGTGTGGGGTGGAAGAAGACAGGCAAGAGAGAAAGAAACTGCAAGTATAAGTTTATCGAGACTACGGTATTCAATATAAGAAATCCTTAAAGTGGTATTACTTTGATACTGCTCTTGCCATGGCTTCTGATAAAGCATACCTGCAATTGTTTTCCATCTTGCTGTGAAGCAATGTAGTTGACTTGTTGAGATGGTGGGGGTGGAGGTGGAGGCGGAGGTAATCCCTGAGACAAATTTGTGGGAGCAGCTACCTGTATGAGAGGCACTCCGGTAGGGAGATGATGCATGGGCATTGGAGGGGGGATGTTGAAAGGGTTTTGTTGCATATTCATCATGGGAGGAGGATGGACACCCACTGGATACGGGAAGATATTCATAGGCTGGTGCTGTGCATTCACTTGTGGCATTACATTCATTTGTTGCTGCATCATGTTTATTGGTAACTGAGAACCATCACTCTGCTGGTTGCCTTGGTCTTTGATGTTTGGATCTATCAAAAGAAAAAACAGACAGTATATGAAGTAGAAAATCTGTACTTCATAAAGAAAAAGTGGAGCCAACTCTTCATGAAGCATGGGATATCTAAAAGCTGTCTATAATCTGAGTATTTTAAAGATACTGCATTACATTATTGCACAGCACTCATCATCAGACATGTCATGGAGCCAAATGCTAGTTTTGGAGTTAAAAAAAGTTTGGGTTACTATGGAAGCCTGCCTTTTGAATTTGTATTTTCTCTACCTGCTCCAATAGCACAGCTAATAAATCATTTCCCCACACTGAAACAGGAAGTCACCAGCAAAGAGCAGAACGACAACATCACTTCTCCAGCTTCCGCAACTGCAGAAGGTTAGTCATATGCTGCAATTCTCTGCTCCCCTTTGCCTGATTCACACACACTCTCTGTACATTCCTGTTAACTACAGAAATACTCTGCTGGGTTTTTTTCCACTGAATAATAAAATACCCTCAACCAATTTCAAAGATGCTCATATTCAGAAAGAGTTGTTCAAAAGCCCTGTAATGGTACAACAGGTAAAGTCCAGGAGTAAAAAATACCTCTTGGGGTGGGACTTCTGTAAAACCTGACTTTAGTATCTCATTCTATCTTCAACAGAAGCCAAACAGTTAACATTTAGATACAAGCAGCAAGAAATGAGTTCTAAGAAACAGTTGATGGATTATAATTCAGATGTCCTTCCCTTAGAAACCCCTCCTTGAGGAATCCACTGCCACTTAATTCACAGGGAATAGGATTTAAACCTTCATCCCAAATTACCTTTTTTTAAAGATCATGGGCTAACCTCAGAACCACTGAGGTTGGAAGTGAATGCAACAGTTTGATTGTTCCTGGACTATGTGACCTAAAGGCTGCAAAACACACCATACTTTCAGTTAAAGGTTTAATAAATTTTGCCTGCAGCAGATTGAAGTTGACAAAGTTGCCCCAAACCTAAGAAGCCACCAATGCAGTTATGTTTGAAAGAAGAAGAAAGCTGCTGGCATATAGGATGAAAATGGATAAAAATGAAAGACAACACAAGGAGACAATGGGAAAGTGCAAGTGTGGTTGCCTTCAGAGCTGGATCTTATAATTTTTAAATACAATTCACATGTTTTAAAATAGTTTTAATACTTCAGGGCATTCATAATCTGTGGATGAATTCTCAGCTATTCAGAATTAATCTCACCCACAGTTAACTCACTACAAGAAAGGTTATTTCCATCAGGGCAGTTACCTTTTAGATATAAAATACTCTAAAATATGAGACTTCTACTGAAGCTTTAGAGGAATTTTAATGCTGACGTACAGTAAAAGTATTGGTTTTGCATTTATAAATCTCCCTAGATTTTTTTATAAAGCATTTAAAGAAAAGCTTATTTTGAAGCAAGATAAACGTCAACATAGTGTTTGTCATTGATGGAATCTACGATGTGGGGCTGTGAAGGCAAATGCAAGCCTCCTTGGAAAAAAACCACCCTTTATAAATAAAAGGTGTACAGATGCTAAAAGTACCCTTGAAGAGGATATTTCTTTTTGGCCAAATCAACTTACTTGAGTAGCACTCTTCAGATGCATAGTCCTTAAACCCAAACTTTAAGTGAAACCAAAAAACCATCAGACCACCAGAAATCACCAAATTCCACACCTAACCCCCTCCATATTGCGAAAAGACTATGGATTCACCCCAAATTATTTTGAAGAACCAGTCTGAGGTAGGACATGGCTTGGATTTTACTCAGCTATTACAGCTGTCACTAAGATCTTATGTTTCAAAACTATGAATACCTTGTTCAGGCACCTCCTCTTCTTGTCTCATTCCCCATCCAGACTGTGGGCTTGAGGAGTTGCGTCCCCTTCTTGAATAGTAATTCTGCACATCAGCAGGTAAAGTCTTTCTCACCGCCCAGCTGGATGCAGATGTCCACCCAGATCTGTCAGCAGGTGTATCGAAAGAGTAATCTTGTTCATTCTTATGCTTGTATGGCTGATGTTCTGGGAACCTTGAGGTTTCATTCCCAGAACCATTTGAGTTCCCTGAGACAGGTTTTCTATTTTGCCAGTGATTTTCACTCTGGTCTCCATACCTGAAACCACCTCTTCCACGCCCACCTCGGCCACGATGACCCCTCCCTCGATTTGGAATCCAACCTGAACCATAGTTTTTATTCCAAGAGTGTCCTGCATTGTCATGCCTGCCATCTTCCCAATGGGGTTTCTCTTTCTCTCTGTTCCTGACTTCAGGAACAGAGTTTATCCTTTCCATTACCCAGTCTGGACAATCATTCCTCCTGTTGTCTGAAGAACACTGATCATCATTGTTTTTTTCTGTATTGTCCTTCTCTTTTTTAAGACTTTCATTCTGTTTCTCTTGATCACTTCTTCTGTATCGATCATTTCCTCTGGGACTTCTCCAGCTGTCATTTGTCCATCTGTCTTTCCAACGAGGTGAATGACCATCCCTCTCATTCCTAGAGAATGAAGAACCTTTATTTCTTGTCCTAGATCGTGATCTCGACCTAGATCGTGACCGTGACCTAGACCACCTCCTATTCCTTCTTTCTCTGTCACGATCTCTTCTCTGACTATCTCTATCACTGCTTCTAGATCTAGATTTCTGCCTTGGAGACGAATCCTTAGTTCTTGACCGAGAAGATGATCTCCTGCTTTCCCTGACAGTCTCCCTTTTGGGAGATCGAGATGGTGTTTTTTTCTCATCTCTGAGTGTCTCCCTCTTTGGAGAATGAGATAAGGATCTCCTTCCCTCCCTCCCAGCTTCCTTCTTGGGTGATCGTGAGCTCCTGTCTCTGGTCATCTCCCTTTTAGGGGATGGTGACTGAGATTTCCTGCCCTCTCTCATAGAGGGAGACCAAGTTGTCGATGGAGAGTGAAACCTAGATCTTCTAGTTCGAGTCTTTTTATCTTTCTTGAGTTCTGACTGGCACTCACTCTCTTGAGGAGTAGTTTCATCTTTTTCATCAGAAAGTCCTGAAATTGATGTACAGTTTTCCACATTGCACTGTAAGGAGTTTATTTCGCCTTGCTCTGTACTTTCAACTGGTGGTAACTGTTCAATCTGAGGTTCATTCTGGTCACTGCAAAATGAATCACAATCCATCGGTATCATTTCATTGTTATCTTCACCAAAATGTTTATGTTCAGCATTTACCTGGGGTGCCTCTGAAGTTCTACCCTCTTCGCTTTCTGGCACAGCACTCTCTTTTAAGCATTGTTCTGATGTACTGTCCACAGAAACACTGTGTATTAATGTATCTGGTTCTTCATCTTGAACAGTTTTAAAGTTTTCAGTATTTGTACTTGTAGAGTCTACTACTGTTTCTTCTTGAGCCTTGGAATCATCTATTTCTATGGCTTCTGGGCACTCAGGCAATTCGCTTCTGGGGCTCTCTAATGGCTGATCTTTTCCCAAAGGTTCTGGACATTTCAACAATTCATTTTCTGGACTAGCTATGGGTTGATCTACTTTTGTCAAAGTTTCCATATTCTCCATTAATTCATTTTGAGGACTAGACAATGTCTGATCGAATTTTTCAACAGTTGCACGATCACATACTTCACCTTTGGGACTAGCTGCTGTTTCCATTTGTTCAAGAGTATCTTCACAGATCTCCTGATTCTTAAGATCTACATCTTTTTCAGTAACACCTTCTACTTTGATTTCCTGATTTTCACCTCTTAAAGTTAGTATTGGAGGTTCTTGGACAGAAAAACTACTTGCATCTGCAGTGCCTGAAGTATCTTCATCTTTGGCACATTCTCCTGTAGTTTCCTCAGTTTCTGCATGTTCACAACAGCTTTCCAATCCATTAGCAGACTCTGTTTCTGTGTTATCCTTCTGTGGAAGGCTTGGGCTTTCATTATCTGACTGATGGTCTTTATCTAACGTCAAATCTGATTTAGGCTCAGCAATGTCATCATCTTCCACCGAATCACTGGGTGGCTTTTCAGAACATGCAGAACTTCTCAGTTTCTTTTTAACCACGGGTGTTTGTTGTTTAACTATGCGTTTAGACTTCCGTTTTGGAGGAGCCTTCTCTGGTTCTGAAGGAGATTTATTCAGAGATGGGTTGTTGCCATCAGGGACACTGCACGCTGAACTGCTTGACCGAGGTGAGCTCCGAGATGGACCCAGGGTCTCAGTTTTGCTGTTTCGTGCAGACCTTCTTCTAGGAGTAGTATTAACTGGTTTTCTTCTAGTTCCTCTAGTACCAGATGAACCAGAAGCTTGCTTTTTCTCTTCTCCTTCTTGGGTACATGTGACAGCATATCCTTTACCTAAAGATTCTAATAAAACCAGAATTTGTTAATGTTTCATAATAACCATTTATCCAAACACAGTTAAAAACATAAATTACCTTCTCTGGTCTGACAGATATCCTCAAATAATACAATTTAAGATGAATATGAAATGCTGCTACAGCACATAGCAGTTCCTGGCTTTCTATAATCTAGGCCTGTTGGTAGTGAAGCCTCAATACTACAGGCAGTGACACTGTTAAATGGCCATCAGTGGATGACCACATGGGAAGTGGTTGATCAGAAGCAGCTATGACAGCGTATCTCTCTACAAATCAAATGCTGGGACAGTGCAAACTCTTTCACCAGTTATGAGACAGACCCTGCACGCTCCGTGGCAAACTCTGCCACAAGGCACCCAGAGCACCTGCAGCACCTAACAAACTGAATAAAGAGTGCAAGTCTTGGTGCAGCCTAGGGGTTTAACCCCAAAACTAAAGCTGTAAGAAGAATGACCGTAAGTCACACATAGCAGCACATGAGTTCCTGTGTTGATACTGTGTAAATTTATTTCATGCTATCCACAATTTGACAAAAGCTTTTGTAGGGAAGCCAAAGGTTATATTCACTCCAAAGGAAACAGACTGTACTCTTGATACCTAAGAAAGCAAGCTAGTGAGGGACAGCTCTGGAATTAAAGATTAATAATAATTAAGTAAATATACTTGAACGTAATACTTCAGAACTAAATTTCTTGAGATGTCCATTAATTTGTTTCATACTTTCTGTAGATTTCAGAAAGCACCAAGAATTTGGTGTTTAAATTAATTCTTTTTACAGCTTCAATTTCATACACAAATAGTGGAAACTTGCTTAGGAAGATTAATTGCTATGGATTTTTGCAATGAATTTATCACATCATACTTAAACACTTGATTCTAATTCTCTGTACAATGTTATTATTTCCCATGCTTTTACTGCACTGAAAATATCTCTTTAACGTATTCTTAATCAGATAATATAAAAATAAGATAGGAGTAAGACAAGTAACAACACAAAAGTCTCTTTCTACCACTTACTACTTTGTTAGCAGAATGACAAATGTATCACTTTTAAATGTAAACATATGATCTGATAACCTTAGGGAATTAACTTCACAGGTAGCCTTTAAAAGGCTAGAACAGAGCACAGGATTATAACCACCTCCTCTGACCTCCCTTGTAAACAGTAATTTGCCTGAACATGAAAAAATATAGTTTTGGTTTTCGGGTGTCTGATCAAAACCCATCAAATTACCTCTCCAGATAATGAAACCCAACAGTATCCACTGTACAGAAGGTACTGTGTATTTAAAAAACTGAACAACATGTGTTGTAAAGAACTTCCAAAGGACTTTTAGGAGACTGGCACTGTTTAAGGTATCTACTGTTAACAGTCTGCCCAGTAATTTTGTTAGAAAGTTACTTCACAGTGGTTAAGCAGCAGTTACTCTGTCACATGGGGCTGTCTCCCACTATGTCTTCAAACCTACTACAATAGCCAGGAAAACAAGCTGGACGTTACATGCCATAACAAATATTTAATATCTGTGATTATTTTCTTCAAGGGGAAAGAAATCACCCTGCAATAATAACAACCACCACCAACACCAGTGGAATGTGGGAATCCCGACAGAATTAAAAGACAAGTTATTTTTGCAGCACTTTCAAAGTCTACTTGTGAAACACAACCCGCTTTTTATCATTCCTTGCTACTTGTAAAATTTTAACTGACAAGCTTCACCAGCTTTGGACTTGGACCAAATAAATACAAGGGATTTCAGCCCACTGAATCTTTATTTAAAAACACTTTAATCATGCAAAAGAAGTGCATAATGCCAATCTACATTGTTATGGTATTTGTGGAGTCCCTAATCCATTTTCAGGTCAAATTAGTAAAAAGACTATTTAATGGTCACAGAATCTAAAAAAAACCTGCAGCAGCTGCAGGGAAGATTCAGGCAGTAGTTATACATCACTGATCCTTCTATGCCTCCTAGCACAACTCTGGAAGCAACAATAGGAATTGTAAAACAAAAATAGCTGGAAGGGGAAAAAAAATTTAAAAAAAAAAAAAAAAAATCCTTTTCTTTCCTTATCAAGGCTCAAATTTAAGATCTGCTGATTCTCCCAAAAAACAGCGTAAAGGATTTAGTTCCATATTCTGCCTTAGGAGTTGACAATGTTATGAGCATTTATAAATTAGTTGCTGATACTATCAACAATTCATAGAATCATAGAATGGTTTGGGTTGGAAAGGACCATAGGATCCCCTAGTTCCAACCCCCCTGCCATGAGCAGGGACACCTCGCACTACACCATGTTGCCCAAGGCTCTGTCCAACCTGGCCTTGAACACTGCCAGGGTTGGAGCATTCACAACTTCCTTGGTCAACTCGTTCCAGTGCCTCACCACCCTCACAGTAATTTCTTCCTTATATTTAACCTAAATCTCCATTGTTTAAGTTTGAACTCATTACCGCTTGTCCTGTCATTACAGTCCCTCTCCAGCATCCTTGTAGGCTGCCTTCAGACACTGCAAGGCTGCTATGAGGTCCCCACACAGTCTTCTCCAGGCTGAAGAGCCCCATCTTTCTCAGCCTGTCTTCATACGGGAGGTGCTCCAGCCCCTTTATCATCCTCATGGCCCTCCTCTGGAGGGACACCACAGCTAAACACAATACTCCAAGTGGGGTCTCACGAGAGCAGAGCAGAAGGGCAGGATCACCTCCTTCGACCTGCTGGTCACACTTCTTTTGATGCAGCCCAGGATATGGTTGGCTTTCTGGGCTGCAAGCGCACACACAACGTTAGGCTATTTACTCGCATGTTCTAAACAGCGTTGAAAAATAATCTGAAGCTTATTCAAATTTCTTTATCAGATGAGAGAAAAAACTGTTCTTGGGGTTGGTTGTTGTTTTTGTAAAAATGCTTCTAGTGCATACTAACAAAGAAGCCTGACTGTATATGTAGAAAGATGAACGGAAGTCAAGAGATAGGAGCTAGCATGTATACTCATTACTACTATAAGCTGAAATAGTTAAGGATCAGTTAAATTGCATTGCCAAACATCAGAGTCTCATAGGAGCAACCTATACGTTTTTCACTGGGCAATGTGGAGGTAACGTATGTACCTCTCAAAAGAATGAAGAATATGAATGAGTAAAACATCTTTTATTCATGATCTTTCTACTACTTAACTCTTCCCAGCTTCCTCAATTTTTGTAAGCCATGAGACCCAGATCTCTCCTCTTTGCCTACCAGTCAAGTGAAAATAGTGTAATTCCCAGCTCAAAGAAGGTATTAACCCTAGCCTTAAAACCAGCATTCTTTTGTTTTCACTTCTTTGAACTTGTGCAGCCTGTTGGAAGAGAAACTACATTCTTGCTGACTATGGAGAGAGAGAGGTTGTTAAAGTAACTGGAAGAAGGTCTTCTGCTAAATTCCTGCCAGATCCTGGAGCTCAAGCCCTTCTGCAAGCTGTTGCCGTACAGAGCTTGTAGGCATACCAAAATAGATCCATATACTGTACTGTTTCCTCACTACTCTTCTTCTCTGTCAGGATACAATTTGTTCATCAGACTGCAGAATATACTCCTGAAATATATCAAGCTATTCATAATATATAACAAAATGAGATTTAGCCTTAAGCAGTAAGAAAAGAAGTTGTAACTTTAAAGAAAGTGTTGCGTTTAGAAATGGAATTAAGTTACACAAAATACTTATTTTCATCTTCAAATGAATGAAGAACACTTATGTCTGTTTGGGGGTGGCTGGTTCATCTTCTACATTCTAATTTCAGAAATAAACCAGATGATTTTGAAATAGTACCAAACTGCATCAAAACAGGCTTGTTTTTTTTCTGTTTACTGTACCTATATATTCCACATTGATTTCTAAGAACCTCATTTAACAACATACCACATGAGCGATAAGTAAAACTTACAAAAAAAAAGTTTACCAAAGTTTTCCAAAGGCCTGATATTTGTTGGAAGAATTGTCCCTGCCACTGTAGTAGAAGTGAGAAGAAAGGTCTCAGCTTCAGCTCCATAAGACATTAAAGGAATTCTAGAAATGTAAAAGCATTAACATGAGTTTTCTTAGCTGTTTGTAGCAAGTTTTGGAAACAATGCACAAAACCAAAGCAAGAGGCAACTATGACACTTCCAACCTCACCACAGCTGGAGAGAAAGGCAAAGCTGACAGCAAACAGAACTTCCTTTCTCACATTAAATTTCAGGTTTATGCTATTGCCTAACCTAGTAAAACAGTTTGAAAAAGTATTGTTAAAGTAATACACACTTGGCTTTCTTCAAAGCCAAACATAGAACAGTCTACTCCAGATTAGCAGGCTGTACCACTGAAAATAAAACTCTGAACACTGAAACAGCACTTGAGCAGAAAAACAGCCTTTTTTGTGCATCAAAATCTAACACGACAATTTAGTAAAGGTGGCTTTTTTTTTCCCAACCAAACCAAACCAATACATACTTATTCAGACTCCCTCAGCAAACCCTGTGCAAAACAAAGTTTAGTTACCCATCTACAGTTTTTCAGTTATCACCCAATTGGAATGAAACTTTCCATAAGGAAAAGTATGTGTAAAAAAAAATATTATTTAAATCCTACATGCAACTTATAATTCAAAATCTCTTTACTTGCTCTTTATCCCTTGTTTTATGCCAAAGAAAGTAAAGAGATATGTCGTGAAATTAAGATCATAGACCAATTTATTACCGTGTTATTTTAAAATCAGGAGGGTTTTATGCTTCTGCTTTATATTCATGAAAACACCCTTAGGGTATATTTTAATATGCATCTGCTCTTTGACAAAAGAAATTACTTTATGTTCTCTGTTTCATTTGATATTCATTTATTATCTCTTTCTAAATGCATTTGTTTATAAACAGTTACAAAAAGAAGTTAGAACCAACGCATGAGAGAGGAGTATGGGAGGTGAGTGGGAAATCAGAATCAGACTGATGTTAAAGTGAACAGTCTGATTTCTAGTGATAGAAATAATTTAAACAGCACATTGAACACTAACTTCCAAATAGAAAATATATTTAAAAGTGTGTTTCTGCATATTAAGATGCACAAGTCACTGCAGTTATTGTGCTTGTCATGAGTACCAGAAAAGCATTAAGGTATACAGAAAAGAATCTACTGACATAAAAATAGCACGTGGCAAATACACGAAAATTTAACCAGTTACATACAAATACTATTTAGTTTTGTGATCAAATGATATTCTATCTAAAGAGTAATCTGAATTCATCAAATTCCAAACTTGGAGTATATCTTACATTAAGACCCTTTGCACTGAATGCAAAACATGTACCTTTCAACTCTAGCAATCACAGATGAACAGGACAAGTCCAGTTCTTGTCTCTTCTGTCTGATCACTGCATCAACTTCGGTGAATTCTGTACTGAAATACAAATTTCATACAAAAAGTTACAAAAAGTAACTCTGTACCACCATAATTTTCAGTAATTACATCTATCAATGACCTTAAAAAAAAAAAAAAAAATATTTAGCTGTATTAGAACTTTAAGAGTCATGATGAAACTATGCATGGTTATTGTTCAGAGGGGAAAAAGCAGTCATAGTAGATGTTAACAGTCCTAAATAAATGAGGCAGACAGAATGGAAAACAGGAGACGTGTCTATGGGGAGTTGAAAGATGGGAGGAACTTTGCATCCTTGACAAAGTAATGCTATTGCATGCATGGCAATTTTTATTTTTCTTTTACACACTGCTGAAAACATACACACAGTAATTTTTTTATTAGGCCATATTATCCAAATAATGTTCTTCTAGATGGTTCTTTTTCTTCCATTTTATCAACCAAGAAATTTTTTTTTAACACCGTTCTTGCGTATTAGGCTCATTAAGCAGAACTGCTTCATGTGTGTTTAAGGTATTCCTCTCGGAATCAAGGAACAACAAACCAGATTCTTTCTGATACAAACCAGGATATTTACTGTTAAGTGTTTTGCTAACTGCTGTAGGAATGAATGGACTAACCCTTTCTTACCCGAGGCTTCAATTCAGCAAAGAGAATAAATATGAGCTAAAAATAAAACTTATTAACTCCTATGAAATCAGTGAGATTAAAAGCACACACAATCAAGTATTTTAATGCTGAGCACAGGACAGAAATCGAGGTGTGCCCGTAACAATACTCATTTTAACAAGTTTGTGTTTATCCTCTAATAAATACAATCTTAAAAATATTTCAAGCTAGTATATACAAACAGGAGCAGAAGGAACTATAGCAGCTGCAATACAGTAACACGTCAGTTTCTCTTAAGCACTAGTATATACTAACCAGTCATTTCTACAGCTAAAAGAGGATTCTTCATTGCTACCACCAGCCGGAAGTGTGCTGAAGAAATTAGTTCTGAAGCACTCACTCCAGCATGTCTGTCTTCTGGGCTACAAAAAAATATTATGAATTAAAGATATATGGAATAAAATAATTAACATATAATACATTAAGATGCACTGAATTTAAACCATGTCAGCAAAGCCAGCTCACAAAAAGCAGGCACCATAGTAGCTCCATAGTTATATGCTGAGATCTGCAGTTACACAAAGAAATCTCCAAATTTTCAACACCTGCTCTCTGCAGATAAGCTTTATATTTTATATAAGCTTTCCCTGGCAAAATCTTTAATGCTCCATGCAGAAATTATGAATAAATGAGCCTGATCCTTACTATTTCACAATTTCCACTTCTGCTACCTAATGAACCACAGGAGTTACAACACTAGCACCCCCAGAGCCCTTCACAGCAGTTCAAACGAACAAGAAAACCTAAACACAAGTAGCTGGCATTCTCCTTTCCCTTCAGGTAGTATTACAAAATGAAGATTGACTGGTGTTTGTTTACTGGGTCCTCACGCAAAGGTCCTCACTCAGAATCCACCTCATATTCGAACAAATACCACCTTCTATTGCAATTGTTAACACCATCTAGCCACCCACTGAATGTCAGTGTAATTCCTTGTCTCCTGTGCAGCAAACTCTGCTCCTGTGTACTAGGCTGGCTGCAGGGGCCAAAAAACCCCTGCACCACCACCCTCTTGACACCTTTTTCTAGACTACTGGACAGACACACTTACCTACATTGACCTGTTTTTGCCATTTATACCCTTTCACCTAAAGGGCTAATGCCACCTTGAATCTGACTAAAATATTCCTGTTTATAAATGTGTGTCCCAAGTATGCAGTCATTACCCATATGCTCCATCAAACTTTGGCACAGAGAGCTGGTTTTGATGGGAACACACCCTATTTCATCAGCATGCAAATACTAAGCTTCTTCTAAAAAGCTGTTGCTTTTAAGTTTTATTTTAAAAATATTATCATTATAAACACTAACATTACTCCTTCCGTTCAAAAAAACATATCCAGATGTTCCACAAATATCTTTATGAGGCAGCATTTAGTAAATCACTGCTTTAAGTTCTTTTAAATTTTGAAAGTTTACTGGATAATTCAGCCCTGTACCTCCTCCTGAAGGTTTTTTAATGGTTCTGCTTTTGCTTATGCACCTTTTTGCAACAGGTACCATTTGAGACATTAATGCTAATAAATCGTGCACAATAAATCAGTGAAGCTAGGTAGGAAAGCATTCGCCAATCCTGGAGAGAAATCAGATGCTGATCTACCATTAAGCCCTATCCTTCCAGTTCAAAACTTCCTCAATTAAATGAAAGGTACCCTTAGCTTTACATGGTAACAGAACCAGAATTTCTAAATACCTGATTTAGAAGGGGAAGGCTGGAGCTAAAGATACCTCTGAGAACTATCGTGTATAAGCACCAAATAAAGTGACAACTCAGGCCACCAGCTACTGAAAAGACCATGGCAAATGTCCATGGCTTATCTGAACCAATTACTTGGTCGATTAGAACTCTGTATTTTCATAAGAATAATGAAAACCTTCATTATGATGGTACTTGGTTGGCAGCTTGTAGCTGATACCATCTTCTTGTGGTGAAGGAAGTGAAAAAAGGGTAGTTACAGTATCTTATAATGTAACAGCCTAATCTAAATGAAAATATTCCCCACCACAAAACTGTTTAATCTGAGAGAGAAGCTTTTATCACCTAGCACTATATTCTAATTAATACCTTCAAGACAGAACCCCCATAGTTTGAATCATACTAAAACTAACAAATAAAAGTTAACCTTAAAAATAAGCAGAAGATAGCTAAGTGCTTTCATGAAAAAATGTTCACAGATATTTCATTATTAGAACTAACCTTGCTTATCTTCACAGACAAAGCTTTCTTGTTTCGTTTGTCATACAAAATACCACCTGCGTGCAATAAGAAACAAAACTCTGATCTTAAATTCAGCATTAGTTTTTAATTGTTTCTCAGTATCACAAACACAATGAAAGGTTAATTAAAATATGTATCAAGTGTATTTACAATGTGTTTATATACAAACTGAGTAAAATTAAAAGGCATGCACCTTCACAATAGCTTGTTATATATCAAGCTGTTTTCACCTCAGATATTTGCTTAGTTTCAGAAGTTATGAACACATTTACCCAACAATAACTATTAAACAAGCTTCTCAAAACGGCAGCCCCAAAATACAGCTAAGTGCTTAATGTGTCTGAAATCTCACAAAAAAAGCTTCCTGTGAATAAAAGCTAGTCAATAGCTATGCACCAACTGTCTGATGCAGAAAACGATGTTAGGTTGAAATCAAACACATTTCACTTGTGACTGAAATTGAAGAGGCTGTTTCAAGTAAACTAAGGACAGTAGTTTCACACACTGCCATTTTGTTCTCTTAAGTTCCATGCTTGTATTCCTTAGTATTTGATTTTCATATCCAAATATAAGCAATACTAATCATAATAAAATAATAAACTGGCTCATCAGGAAATAAATTCTAGCATTCCTTAACAAAACCCAGCGATTCTAGCAAATTGAGGACAAATACCAACTTACTGTATTTTTTCTTCACAACTTTGCTTAACCTTGCCGCTAAGTGCCCTCTGTCTGGACATACAGCTCTTCTGCAAGATTAACAAAAGACATTACAGAAGTTATTTCTGGGCACAGTTGAGCTGACAGTGCATGCACCCAAACAGAATCAGCTCCTATATAAAAGAGTTATTTTGTGCAGTTAAACAAAGTTCTGACTGCTACTAAAACCTGTACTTGCATCATGTGTATCACCTTCCATATATTAAAAACCACAGTGCTTCAAAAAGCTTACAGATGGAAAAAAAGAAAATCCATTTACACACCAAAAGTTGATAACCTGCATATTAAATCTGAATGCCTTATTTTGCTTAATTTCAACATGTGAAAGATGTTACAACCTGCTTCCATAAATACTTTTAAGAATATCAAAGTCAATGGTGATTCAGAACAGGAAGAGGCAGAGATTGACCTTATTTATTTTCTAATAAGACCCAAAAAATGGTAATTTACTTTCAGTTATCTTTTCTGTAGTGAAGTCTGCTTCAAATTCAGTATCAAGAACTCTGTATATCATATATCCTGTTAAACCCTGACTTCAGATTATCACTATTTAGTGAAATTTGTCTGTGTAATCCTGAGCTTCCCCCTATATAATGCAGCAAATGTGACAAGATAAAGCTTCTCAAAACGGGAATGTTACTTTCACATCTCCTCTCAATCTCACTAGAATAAAATCAGTTCTTAAGTGCTACTATGTTTTATAGCAAGAGGAACACTACAAATGCTTATAACATACAAGAAAGGGGATGTTTGTTTAGATAACCAAAGAAAAATATATCTATTGTTAAAATATGATCTAGCCATAAAATCTTAATTTAAATGAATAAAAAAATCTGTCAGAATGTCTTAAAAAATGCACTATCACAGAACTCAATGCATGAAATACGGTGCTCCTTACTCCTTGCTTGTTATTGTAAGTATTGAAGTGGGAACTACATCAGTGAAAAAAGTAAAGCTAAACTACCACTGATGGAAAACAGTTTATTTTAAAAGAAACTTATTTTTTTAGAATTTTTCCAGGGTGTACATTTTAAAAGAGTTGACTTCATATATTTTTGAATATTCCAAATAGAATACTTGAAATTACATGGATGACCAACCTCACAAAATTTCTTCTCTTAGCATGGCTATATTTTCCCTTATTGCAGGCACAGTGTTTGTCGTCATCCTTCCTCCTTAGTTGCTTTTTAACCTGAACCTGTATTGAAAAATAAAGTCAATTCAATCTAGAATCTCAATACACATGGGCTTTAAATTTATTTAAAGACTGTTAATGTCTACAGAGAAAATAAGCTCAAACAGAAGAACTTGAAAACATTTCAAATCATTACTTTTTTAACCTCAGTTTGTGTATTTGATGGGTTTATTTGTTTTTCACGAAATGGGAAAAATCCCTCCTCAAGATGTACTTTGGCTATGCCAGAGATGCATAGTAATTCCACAGCACCCTGAACATTCAAGACTGCCATGGCAAGTATCTCAAAGCTATACTCTGTCTTCCACTGAGATTTGGAAACTAAGTTTTTTTTAAACCACATCGGTTGATCTGAATACGTAAGTTTCAGCTTGGAAAAATGCTGAACTACCACTCAGTTTCAAATACCTCCTTATAATTAAAACCCACCCAATTTTCCTCGGGAGCATAACAAATTACGAATTTTACACAGCATTTTTTCCCCCCCATCCATCTTCAAAATTCTAAGAAAGCAATACAACTTTTTATTACATATTACGAAGTTACTTCAATGGCTACATTGCCATTGTTTGTGTTAGATATCCTATATTTCTTCATTCTAGAATACTGGCTTTATATGCAACTCCTTAAGCTATTAGCATTCTAATTATGACTATCACAAAGAGAAAGTTGCCGATGTCCTGATTGTGCCACTGCTAATATTGACCATCGTGTCAGCATTTCTGTGTACAAATTCCATCTACCCCTATGTTCCAGTGGCTCATTTTCAGAGCATTTTCCTTGTTCTCTGCCCATCTGCTTGCATTGCAGTTCTACAAGCAAAGAACCTTTCAAACTGTATTTTGATACAGCCTTTAGGCTTTTCTAAATGAAAACTTCAGTTTATCTTGTTTCAGCTACTTCCTTGTTTCTTTAGAAATAAAGAAGATAAAATATGCCAGCATAGTTTTCTATGAGAGGAAGTATCTGTGGCTGTCAGCATGCTTCCTTTGCAGTTGACTACCTGAGCCTCTAGAAGCACAAAAAGTAGTAGAAGCCTGTTTTCTAAACATTTCAAAATGCAAAACCACCACCTTAGGAATTTCTTATAACCATAATTTCTCCACAGAATTTCAAAACTGTACACAGAATTATCAGCATCATTCTATATACATTTTCCAGATCATTTATTAGAATGAAGTTTTATTTTCCTACTTCACAAACTAATCTCCCTAGCAATGTTATTCAGCAGAGTTGAAAGCTGAAAAAAAATCAGAAGTTTAGGTTGAAGAAGGCTTAGCATTACTTGATTCCTCTTGCCTTCATGTGTTTTTGTCTGTGAACTAGAGGCTGTGAACATAAAAGATTCACCTCAGCTAAAAAAAAAAAGGCAAGACTGTGTGCTACTTGATACAGCACTTGTTTACAAAACCTAGTTAAAAAACATGCTGAGACCATTTACTATACTTCTATTCTTGGATATATCAGGAACACTCAAAGATACTATAATGTAACAATAGCAGCTTTGTGATTATTATTACTGTAAACACTTGCTTTGAAAAAATATAATTAGGAATAATTTCTAGCTTCAAATACGTAATAGAAACATTAAAACAGTAATTATTTCATTAGGAAAGCTTATTTAACACAGACGTATGAATAAAAGGTTGTGTGCTCCTACAACTGAAGTTTCTTAAGAAAGTAAGTCTGGAACTTACCTTTATCTGCTCTTCCAATGCATCAAGCCTGCATACTGCCTGAAATGGTCTGCGATCAATAGGACATGAAGCCTGTATCTGAAAAATTATTCTTCTTATTACAAAATTCGTAATAAGTTAGAAGTCTCAGTTTTCTATACTTTCATTTCAATATATAAGCCATTATAGTAGCTTACAGAAGCACACAGAATTACAACTTATTCACAGTAAGAATGTATTCATACACATTATGCAAACACTCAGTATTTTGTTTCATGTAAGTGGATTTCTCCTTATGGGAAAATGTTAAGGAAGCAAGAATTTAACTCAGAAGTTGTGTTCAAAAAAGGAAAAAGGTTTCACATTATTAACTATATTCTTTTATTTTTTAATCCCTGTTAGGCAATTGGTTTTATACCAATACGCTCATGTCCTTTGCATTTCTTTTTGTTCTAATGTTTTATTTCTTCATGTTATTTTCAACAGGAAGTGTGCCCCCAAAATATAAAACTGGGAAGACCAACGGCAATCAGGCTAACATCTTCCCTTATCTTGCGTTATCTACTCGACTAGACTACACCTCTTTTTTTGCAGTCAGCAGAGAGAACAGATTCCCACTTGTAAGACAGCTGAAGTTTTACAAATCAATTTGCAAGAGAATGAACTGAAAGTTATTTTGAATGAAATACAGATTGGTTTTTTTCCCCCAGTCACCTAAACACCCTATTATTGAGGCTGTACTACATCAGATAACAGCAACACACACAGAGAACAATAAAATGTTATTGGCCATGGAAGAGAGAAGCTTCAACTGAAGGTCCACACAACTGGATCATATAGTTAATCATCTTTCAGGGAAACCTATCAGATACTAAGTTTTTCTGCTAGAGAACTGTTCACTCATTTTAATTCCAGACATGTGTTTGGGAGGTGAGGGGGGTGAGCTTTCTTTGATTGATTGGTTTTGCCACTATGTTGTCATGTGTGTCAATCCCCATCCCCATTGTGAGGTGAACAGGCTCAGTTCAGAATTGTTCTAATACAAAGAAGAAACCAAAACCACACAGCCTCCAGCCCTAATTCATCCACTGAACAAGAACTAGTATACAAAGTATATGCCCTTAAGAGGCATTCAATTACTGCCCTTAAGAGAACTATCAGGGTATTACACTTTTTATTTATGCAAGCAAGACACAGTATTAGAATTGCATAAGCAGCTATGAGAGACTTGCATGTGAACTCTGCCCTGAAATTCAGTGGTGAATTTAATTCTTGTCTTTTCACTGGGGTTTTCAATTTTTCAGTTCATTCTGTTCTTTTCTCAATTTCAGAGAGTGTTCAACATTTTTCACTTATAGAGCCCCCAAACCTTGAGCACTCAGGAAGCATCTGATTTCAAGGGAAGTAGATAGCACAGAGTTGGACTGATTAAAAAAAAAGTCCCCCAAACCCCCAGGGGTAGTTTCATGAACAAGTTGTTGAACAAGAACGCAAGTTAAAGCCATTACCTCTCCTTTTGATGCTCTGGTATTTTATCCTAACTAAAAACTTGTCCCTGTTGGAGAATACCCATTGTTCCCTGCAGTGTCATGGCCTTGGTTAAGAAAAGCATATTGGGTAATTAAGCCAGTTCCCTAAGGACTCATCATGAATCAGTTTTTGTCCTGTAGTCAATGCAGAGCTAACCCACAGAACATAGCAGTGTATTGTTCAGCTGGGATAATTTGATAGCATGCAATGTACTGTAACTGCTGTGTCAGCTGCAAACTTCAAGGTAAATACTTTGATTCTTAGATATATCAGACTGTTAAAGATAGGTAGGAGAAAGTTAATTTTCTTAGTAATTTTCAATCTCATTTCAGGATTTACCTTAGCCAAAAAGTAAGTTTTTCCAGGATTACAACTCATTTCTACATCAAATTTACACCTGAATATTAAGTTACGTTCCCAAGTTTAAGTCACAGTAATTTATGTTTGTTCATTGAAACAGAGTATCACAGAACACTAAGTGTTACTAGCAGCAATCCATTCGAAAAATGTTCACCGCTGTATTTTCAGTTCTTCCAGACAAATGTTGAACAATCACATAGTTATATATAGTTACAGGAAAAGAGGAAAACATTCTGGAAGAATCAAAAGCTACCGTTCAGTTCAGGTATGTTCAGAAACAGCAGATGCTTTTTCCACTCCTACTCAGTGGCTTTTTGCAGTCCTAGCATTATCTGATAGTTTGCAACAAATCTCAAAAGAGATTCTAGTAAAGACAGGGCAGTCCCATGCGCACTTCTAAGCCCCCCAGGCACAGTACAACTGCAGCGTAGCCCTGAGGAAAGTTAGAGGTTACTTCATCTGTATAACTCTTTCATCTGCTAACATATAAGAACAAGCCTTTTAAATGGAAGAAGAAAAAAACCCTTTCTCCTGTCCCTTTCCCCAACAGCAAGACTGAATTTGTGCTACTAAATAAAGGACTGCTGGTAAAAAACGTTGACTATATTTTTACAAGAAGCAGTCATGAGGAGTGGTGGCCTTTTATTCATCTCTTTCCTCTTTTTTTGAGAATATAGTTCAGTAACAAAGGTGGTCAGTCTTCTTTCATCCAAGGCAAGTTAGCAATTCCTCACTTCTGAGGCTTCTGTTCAGGTAGCAGCAAAAGTAACAGTAAATGTACACTGTCCTTTTAAGGAAAAATACTTAAAACAAGAAAAAAAGCCTGAGATGGAATGAGTCCAAGCAGCAGCTATCGCTTTTATTGTGCACACAAGGAAGGAGGGGTGTGGGATGTGTCACAGCTTTAGAAGAACCACAGCTTCATACAGTATCTTTCTTTAACATAACTGTTTGAAAACCAGAACATGTAGTATTTAATGTAATCATCAAAATCACTAGAAGCTCACAGCTAGTATTTGTGACTTGCTTTGCTTCCCAACAGTGCTTTTGTTGGGGAAACATGGAATAGTGGCTCAGCACACTTCAAAATGTCTTCAGCTGTTTTACTCTTCATAGAAAACTACTCACAGTTCTCATATTAAAACTGGTAACTCTATAGGGATTCATTATTTCACCTATCTTGTGACATCTGGAGAATTCTCTCCATAAAACATGTAAGCATTCATGAAATGTGCAACCCCTGAAAAGCTCATATCCATGAGCACGTGTGTGTTTGGCTTTAAGTTAGAAAAAAAAAAATATTTCATAGTATTTTATTGGTTTCTGATAACCCCTTAGAAAAAAAATCCTGCTTTAGCTCCACAGGCATAACTTCACATTCAGTATTCCTGTAACTGCTACAGCACCACAAAACAGTGATCTGTACACTCAAGGAATAAATGTCCCTTATCTTAACTGCATCAGTTTCAAACAGCATTTGAGCAAAGTGAGGTAGACAAAGGGCTGAAGCAGTTACTGTATTTCAGCTAGGAACTGTTAGAAAGCTATACAAATATGTGCAAGCTAAGCCCAAAGCATATTTGACTGATAAAACAACTTTGGCAGTTATTTTATCAAGTAAAAAATAATCCCATCTCATCAAGTAGTAACAGGATTTATTTATTTTTTTATTAATTTACAAGCAGCCCATAATCAAGCCTGTTCTTCAACTACTGTATTGAAAAGCTGATCCAAAACGAAACACTATCCTTCACTCTTTACTGCTTTTTTATTAGAGAGCCTGTTAAATAATACCAGATTCTTGTAACTAAACTCAGGCTTAAAGGCAATGTTTAGATTGTAAAAGTAAGGTCTGTATATTTTGTTACACCTAGTAATAATAGTACACAAAAAAGCCTACAATTCCACCCCCAACTTCGGTGAAAAAGGAGACCGTAACAACACACGTAGTGAGAAACATTAACACCACCATGCAACAAGACAAAGTATATTTAAAGTTTTTGTAGTTATGCTTTAGGAAAGCACTATTTTCGACAGAAGATCCTAGGAGGGGTTTTGAAATATCATTCATGGATATTAAAGATACAGAGTGCATAAGAACAGAGATTCTAGCCCCAACACCTCATCAACAGGCCACCTAGGTGCAATTCTAAACAGCTGTCTTCTCTCTACCTGCATCATGCAGTTGTCTAGTCCTTAACTTCCAATACAAAATTGCTACAAAGTGTTGACAAGCTGTGTGTCACTGGCCCTCATTTGACACTATATTATTGGAAGAACTGAAGCCAAACTCAAAAGTACTCAGGCTTCTGCACTGCACTTTAACATTCATAAGCTGCTGCATGAATGTGCGTGATAAATCACAGAATCACAAAATGGTTAAGTTTGGAAGGGACCTCTGGAGGTTGCCTTGTCCAACTGCCCTTCTTTAGCAGGAAAATATGCCAAGAACAACTGTATACCACAAAGACAAATGGGTCATCTAAAAAAGATACCCAACATCCGCATTTTCTGAAAGAGTTTGACAAATACAGTTTTTCTATGCAGTAGTTCTCAAATGCACTGTCTGTGTATGCATTGCCTTGGATACGCTTGAACAAGGTTTTTTATTCTTGTGGGGTTTAGGTTTAGTGTTTCTTTGAACATATTTGGCTTGTGAATGTAATCTTAATCCCGCCCACAGTGGTCTGTATTGCAGATCACCGTGGAGTATATTACCACATAAGCTAATTCTTTCCTATATCTTTTAGGACAAAAGAAATCCAGTTCAGAAAGAACTACCATTCCAGTTACCATTCCAGTAACTGTTTACCCTCAGAATATATATGTGCAGGATATTCTACATAATCAATGATTCAAACTTTACACTAACACAAAGGAAACGTCTATTCTAAGAACAGAACATCTGCTAGAAATGTAATGAAAGACAGGTCTTTGTGCCAACTGCTTAGTTTTATTAAGTCAAGCACTGATACTGCACAGGGCCTTCCTGAATATGCCCCAGTGCTTTGGAGAATTTACAGCTGAATGTACTCCACTTTCAAATCCTCCAGATGAGGACAAATGAATTAAGGAAACCAGGTGCAAAAACTAAGGGATATAAGCTTAGTTGGGGAGGGTCTCTGAAATCTACATGTTTAACACAATCACTGTGATAATGCAGACAACACACTGAATCTTTTCTCAAGCACTCTTCTCTCATGATGGTTACTAAGAGGAAATAATAGAATAGCAAGGATAGAAATTGCAGTATATTTATTAGCACTCTGGAGAACAGAAGGGAAGTTAAAAACCCTACCATAAAGCAGAATAAATATCTATTTCCTCTAATTTAAGATTGTTTTCTTTGAATAGAATACAAAATAAGGCCAGTTTTCCTCTAATGCACAAAAGCAAGATACTATTGCTGCTAAAGCAGTTGCCTTAGACCTAGTTAAGTTCCCTTCATATTAGCTTTACTTAAATGCTTTCAGAACTCAAACTAGAACACGCGCTTATCAACTGAAATAAAAAATACAAACGTACCAGAAAAAAAAAGTTTAAAAATTTAGTTTTAACCCAACTAGTTTTCATCTACTAGTGGTATTACAGACAAGAGAAACACGTAACGTAATTACTTGCCTTGGTATAACACAACAGTACCAATAGTGTTTGAAGACTCTAGCTAGGAGGGTTTTTTTTGTTTGTTTATGGGTTTTGTTGTAGCTTCTCCCTCCCCACCTTTTTCTATACACAGCAATAGCCAAACTTGCTCTCTGTTATGTGGGCAGAATAATGTTATCATGTACATGTTCTTTACGCTGAAAGCAACCCTTCGCTTACACTATCGATCGTTCAGCACTCCCATTGAAGGCTGTGTCCGGTAACCTCAGCTCTGGATTTAGTGCCTTTTACTTTTTATGATCTTCCAACACATAGAAGTCTCAAGCTTGAAACTCTCCATTAGTAAATTACACAATGTTGGCTTACAGAAGCAGATGACAGATAGCATGGGATGAGGAACATTTATGTTACTCTTTGCACACCTACTGAAACAGACTCCAAGTGCGGTATGGCAGTCCTTGTGAGCTCACTAGTTAGCATGGCCAAAGGCACACAAGGTGACAGTCTAATAGTGTGGGAAAATTTAATAGTGTAGGCAATTGAGTTCAGTGCACAATGATGCTCTCAGATGCCACAATTAACTTCAGTAAACATAGCTAAAGAGAGCAGAACACCCCCTGAAAAAAACAGTTAATCTGATCCTGGTCTCCTCCTCCTTTTTCTTTTAGAAGTTGAACATCTTTGCTCAAAGGAAAACAAAATACAGCCCTGACTCAATTGCAGTGCTACTTAATACTGAAACTAAATGCTCAATTTAGCCACTAGGATCTAATATATTAGATGTTGTGTGGCAAATTTCCTACCCCTTTTTAGCCTGTCATGGGATGAACCTAAGATACTCACTTAGAAGCAATTTTTATATATTGCTTTTAAATGCAAACCTATCTATCTGTATTATCTTTCTTCATAAAAAGCAAAATCTTCAAAGTGTTATGGCTACTGCTTGCAGACAGAAAACCTGCTGGTACAGGACCGTTAATGCAGTTGCAATGTTGAAAATCTCACATAGAAGAGGGAGCAGAATGGTAAACAAACTCTTACCGTCTGCCTAAACTACCCTGGTTTTAATTAACATCTACACAGTTTTATATAAAAGCTGTGAACCTCAGAAGAGCAATGATTACGTACAATTTGGAAACAACACTTTAAAGAAGTAGCTGCTCCTGTTATATTTTGAAGACCAGATGCAACACAGAAAGAGAGTGGAAATATCCAACTTGAACACAGACTGCTGGCAAAATCTTGAAGTGTATGAAGCATAACTACAGATACACAAAAGAGCACTTCAAGTAATGTGAACAGTACATTAAAAAAAAAAAAAAAAAAAAAAGAGGGGGAAGCCTAAAGATTTCACTTCATCTTACTCTCAGTTTCGTTGTTCTCTAGGACTTAAAACAGGAAAACAGTGGTTTTAAAACCAATTTATTCATACCCAATAAAAATACTTAACCTTTAAACAGAATCTGGTAGCATATTTTTTAAAGGGCAAATAATTTTTGCATCTTCGTTATTCAGAGTGCTTAAATTTGACTACTTGTCAATTATTTAGTTTTTGTTAGTTATGATCAACCAAAAATTAGCAAAGAAAGCTAAAACTTATGCAACACTTAAAAAAAAAAAAACAAAAAAACCCAAACAAAAAACATTGACTCACTAAGTATTAACAAAGGACACAAAATCCACAAGGCATCAGCATGCTTCAAATGGCCACATGCTTGTAATATGTTTCAATCACTACAAGCTATAAAACCTCATATGCTTCTCACAGCTGAAGCTTCTGAACATCCGTCAGTTTCCAACATTTGGTTTTTTCCCCCCCCCCCCCTTAATTAAAACTATGAAGTTTCACAAGCTCAACAACAGGTCCAACTGTCACACATCCTCAGAACAGGAAGGCTGGCTGATTTTATCCATCAGATGTCACTAATGGAAAGAAGCAGTAGAAGCCTTACATAGCTTTAAAAACAACCCCCCACTGTTTTTATGGCATCACATATACTTCACCTGTAAACTCTTTAAGAGCAGAAGTCTCTTTTATTCTATTTGGATAGTACTTTGTGGAAAAAAAGTACTGACATGACAAGAAAAATGTTACATCATTCACTTGCCTCTTCGAAACAAGAAAATTTTCCTTCCTCATTGGGCTTAAAAGCATCTGTTAGACAATGTGAACAAACTCAAATCCAGCAGCAAGCCCTCCATCTACCATACATGTCACTATTTATTGTCTTTCAGCTGCCATTATAACAACCAGCTAAGGAAGTCGGGATAAAACTGTGGATGAGAACTTCCTGTTCCCTTATAAATAAAAGCATTGCAATTAATCATTTGCAGAGCAGAAAATCTGGCATCAGAATATTTAGTTTATTATCTAGTTTGTGAATCTAAAGCGAGTTTCATCTAATAACCTTGTTTTAATATGGTGAAGTTCACATAAAATCTTCAGAAAGAAGTGATTTATGGTACTGTTAGCCTTCAGCAATAAATAACACAGAAATCAAGGTTAAAAACATAGTAAGTAAAAAATAATACATGAGTATATTGTATGTATACACAGAGCAATGCCAACCTAATGAAGGATATACTGCAACCAAAATCCTTTTTTACTTCAAAATGGGATTTATTGTGAAAAAACAATACCAATTCAAGTTCACAGAAGCAGGATGAAAACCAGCATCTCATTTGAGCACACCCACCCCTCCAATATAGTATAAAGCAACTCTATTTTGATGTTTTATATTGACAATTAAAAAACTTGCAGAAAAGGTAGATACCAAAGACTCAATGCAATGACTACAGGGCACATGTGAGGAAAAAGGGATTAGATAGAACAAGATCATTAAGAACTTGTTCAACAAATCATTTAAGGTTCCAGAACTATCTAAAAGGTACTGACATAGATCAAATCATAGCCTATTTAGCCACAGACATATTTAAATCGACTTTTTAATTCAGAATAGTACTAAACCTTTTAGCTGAATTCTCTTTAGAGTTAGAAAACTAAGGTTTTATCAGACTCATTTTGTAGACTAACATGAAAATATATTAGTCCCAGCCCTAAGAGTTGACAAAATGACAAACAGCATAAGAGGTAACAAAATTAAGCTAATGACACTGCAGTATTATAACATGTACATAATACTGTCTGATCTTCCAAACAGCCAACACCAATTTTTACTGATCCCTAATCTCTAGAAACCATGGAAATCAAGTTGCCTAGTGGGGGGGGG